CATCAAAACATACATATTTCATAGATATAAGTACCACAGATATAAAATAAAATAGTGGAATATTAAGTACCACAAAAAGGTAAGGCTACTTTTTGTTCAATAAATACATATAATACAAATAACAGTTTACCAGTATAAAGACGAAGAGATCATATCTTCTTTATTTTATAATAGGTAAAAACTTTTTGTTTAAACGAGTTGCACGATATAGTAAAATAACTAGTGAGTAACGTGTAAAATTCAAATACTACGTAAAATTTAACAATTTCTGACCTTGCTCAAGACCGTAAAGGCAAAACCTTCATAGAAATCCGGTTAACGCAACATTATCAACTGCTGCCTTCTAGTTTTATTGGAGATTTTATTTTAAGACGGCCGAATATAATAAAATGTAAGATTTTTAGCAAAATAAACTATCGTATTTCGAGAAGTAACTACATATAACGATGTCGATAAAAGCATGATTCTAATCAATGGAACAAGTAATATATATTCAAAAATAGAAATATTGCAGAAATTAAAAAAAAAATTAATACATTCGAATTTTATAAGTCGGAAAGTTTTTGTTTATATTATATTATAAATTGGAAAGGGACATAGGTTTTTATCACGAAAACTATTTCTTAATTATTTCCTTCTGAGCACGTGGATAAAAGCGTTGGCAATAATTTTGTATATAATCGTATAAACCTAATTTAAATTTTATTTGATTTGATAATAAACACGATAGTAATCTAATGATAATGAAAAAGTAAGTGGGGAAAAGATAAATATAAAGATTAAGATAACGAAAGACTCTACCTACTAAATTGGGTCAATCAAGTAATATATCTTTTTGAAATAAATATTTATTAGGAAAACAGGTAAAATAAAAAAACTGAGAATTTTTAATTCGTAACCTTTAATTTAATATTTTATTTAGCATTGGACATTCTAAGTTATTAAAAAGATTCTTTACACGTTTTAAAATAGAGTTTTGGCATCATGTCTTATTTTGTTTATTACGTTTCACTTGCTTGTTTTAAATCTAAAATTAATCTATACTACGTGTTAAAAAAAGAAGACCAACTCTTCTGTTTCTATTCCTTAGTTTTATAAAAAAATTATTATAGCAAAACTTAAAAATCAATGGAAAATTGAAGAAAACTACCATACCCGCTTTTTGGCACGAAAATAACTGTATGATTCATTCAAATAAATTATCGAATGTGTTAAAACTTACCTACCTTTGTCATGTATTCTTGTAGGTAATATGTTTATATATACAATATACACATAAACAACAAAACATTGAAAAGAAAATTACTGAAAGTAGGAAAATTATTAACTAATATTTTGTGAGTATTCAAACGTTTAAATTATTCAAACATATTATTCTGTAAACGTAAAGTTTAAATTATTCAAACATATTATTATGAAAATAGTACATACGTTTTAAATTATATTGTCCATTTAGACTTGATGGAAACCGTTTCAAAGCAATGTATAAACTGAATGAATTTCATTAGTGTTTGCGATATTATTGCATAATTAACGATTTGGTTTTGTGAAAAGCTGATTGTGCGTTTAATAAGTTCATTTGATTGAACGGATACATTTGTTGCAATAATTTAATTCGTAGCCACAATATTGTTAGTATCATTGAATTAACACCGCTTATGAGACGTTCTCAAGGTTAATTGTAAGAGATTCATTATGATTGCATTTGAGTGAGAAAAACAAATGAATTTAGTTTGTCTGTATGTATAAATCACATACGTAAATGACTACTACTGTTAAGAAGATTAGTAAATGCTGTGATTTTGTTTTTGAATTAAATAAATATATAGAATTTACATTTTTTTTTGTGTCAATAAATTTTTTGAGTACTAATCTGTTGGCATCTAGGTCTTCCGAGGATTCGTAGTGTCTAAGATCTCAGAGCCCTTTTACAGATTGTCTTATTATTGTAGAGTTTTCAAAAGAAAAAAATATACTATTTAGTTGTGCTTAGTAAAATTGCTTAGTAAATTAAGGTGCCAATTCTGTTTAATTCACAAGTCGACGTCGATGTATTTAAAAGAATTAAAAAAGATGCTATTTTGCTTTAAAAATTAACTGTCACTTATAAATCAGAGAAGCTCGATGGCAAGTGGTATGGTGCTCGGTCTGCGATTTGATTGTTAAGCAACTTTCGCATTGCCCAGTCATAATATGGGTGACTAAAAATTTATTATCTCAAACTCCTTCACTCCTTCATGCTTCCTTCATGCATTGCACTTTAAACTGTTGATCCGGCTGTATCTATCTACCAATCCGCACTAGGTCCGCGTGGTGGGTCATGGTCTATTTTCCCTATTGGATTCGATTCCGTCCATACGAAAGGTCTGTGCCCCAACTTTGGGGGCATTACATTACTCAATTGTTGACGACGAATCTTATTTTGTCGCCATTTACTCTTCTTCTAGCGTCCTCTAGTATTAGCCTCCACGGTAACTGGTAGTTATATATCTCCCGCCGTAGATTTGCAAACGGATGGCATGGTTATTCACTTTCATAAGCGCTTGTAACAAGTTTAAACTAATTAAAAAAAAAACAAAGTAAAATATAGTCTTCCACCATAACTTTTGAATATTAAATATGGCGGATGTAAGACGTCAATTTAAAAATTATGAAAAAATATTTAATTATTGCAATATGGGTGTCAAATTAAAGGTCTTGCTGATCACATTCTAAAAATATATATAACTTACATACATAATTAGCTGTTCACTAAAAGGAATAAAATAAATCTAAATAATTTAAAAATAAAATTATATAACTGACAAAATGCTATGCCGCCGGCGCCGTGAGTGAGTCTCGATTTGTTACGTAATTGCGTAGATACTGTTGCTGAGTGCATCGTGGAACAAACATTTATGTAACTTTTTGTTCCTTAAATAAATAAAAAAAAATCGAACTAAAATTAAAAGAAACAAGTTCAACAACAAACAAAAGAAAAAAAAGAAACAAATGAATGCCGCCTAACGAAACACAAATACATGTGTAAATGGCTGTATAAATTTGAATTTGGAATTCCCAAGAGGAGAAATTTGTGATTAAAGTGGCCAGTACGACAAAACGCCAATTTCATAGGTAACCTAATACCTAACCTAATATATTTTTTAAAGTACTAAATTTAAAATAGACCGAAGAATATAATTTGTTTCATCTGATTGTCTAGTGTTTTCACAAATTGTGCGATTACAATAAAATGGACTTAACCCGGGAAAAATGTTGTTGCATGATTTTTTCTGATTGCAAGTGTGTGGCCCATTGGCCATATCAAATCGGCTCGCGATCGAAATTCTATATCACAGACATTTTTTTTTTCAAAGTCAAAGTCAAAATAATCTTTATTCAATTAGTTCAAATACTTCTTAAAAGTACTCGTACTTTTAAGTCGTCCAACATTTTTTTCACTACCACTCGTTTAGGATGTCTTTTGGCTGATAAGAAGAACGAGATCACTTTTTATAGAAAACAAACTAATATTTTTACGAACAAACATTAAATTCTCGTATATATATTGAGAAGCAACAGTCATTATGTCTATTTCCTTAAATTTCTTCTTTAAATAGTCCCTAATCCAAAGATTATAAAAACTTAAAATTAATTATAATTAATTTCAAGAGTAGCATGAGCCTAGATGAGCGAGTGTTAATTATTTATGTTTTGTAATAATAACTCTATAAGTTTATTTTTTTATTTGATTACTCCTACACATTCTAAATTTAATACTTATTTAATTAACCTATTAATTAACATATAACCCTATGTCATTTTTTCATTATTAATTACTTTCTTTTATACAATATTTCTTGATTGTATAACAGAGATGTATCAGTATTTCATGTCCTATATCTATGACAACTTAATGTGTGTTAAGGAGGACTATTTTTCTTTGTTTGTTTGTCGGGTGGATTATTGAAAGTATTTTTATGCTTTTTCCTATTCAATAAATTTTGATTATACATTGAGTGGAAATGTCGTGTGACGTCACACCTTTTTTAATTTTATACATAATTGTGACGTAACGCTCCCCCACTCCTTATCTTTAATGCCCATTGTCAAAGCCATTTCTTGTTAATTGAAGTAAAAAAAAATGTGTATCCAATCCAATATGATCTATTATATATATCTCTGACTTACTCTTATCTATCTTGACTCATATATGTATATCTGACTGACGGATTAACAAAAATTCTTTTTTTTTACTCAGGCATCATTCCTATTGGATACTTAGACTGTTGTATTTTTCTGCTGCCGTTATAACAACAGATACTAAAAACAGAATAAGATATATATTAATAACGCTCCCATATAACAAATTTATTTTGCGTTTTTTATAGATAATTGTACGAAACGCTTTCTGTACAAATCCGATTTGTGCTTGGCCAATTTTGAAATATTGGCCTTTACGGTAGAACATTTCAGTTATTTCTTAAAATTTTCTTAAAAATTTCAAGATAACGAATTTTGACTTATTTATTTTCATATGAGAAGAACCTTGTAAAATAATAATAAGATTCAAAATTGACTAAATATTACATAATATGTAATTGTACATATTCAAAAATGGCGAGTATTATTCTAGTGCTCTTTATTAAAAATATATACATATATTTTGGGTCAAATATATACAAAGTTATATTGTTAAGTCCACTGGCTGGTCAGTAGTAGCTTTTTCACTTTCTCTTGTAAATTTTTTATTTTGAATCTTATAAATACATACATATATTCAAAAGAAATTTTTGTATTACCTGATGTGCTTCTGATTGTAGTCAATCTTTCATATCATGACATGGAAATAATGAAGGTTACTATGGTGAGGTTTTAATATCCAATATCAACTTCCACTCCCATTTCCATTTATTTGCTGTTTTAAGGGATAAAATACAGCCTATTTCTACTGCATATGATGTAAGATCCCGGTTATGATTCTGGAGAGAATTATATTAATTTTGATTGTAATTCGACAGATGAGCGAGCGTGTTTGGCTCGAAGTGGGACATTCGTGTCAACCACGAAGTAATGCGCGGGGTCGTGCACAAGCGCTTGACTGGCTGCTGTGGGTGTGCGGGGCGAACGGTCTCGACATCAGCGCTTTCGTGCATAAAGTTGTCTTCCTTTTGAGACCTGCTAGCGCGTTTGTCTACCCCAAAGGAGGTTTATATATTTTACAGATTTTTTTACAGATAATAAATCAATCTCTAAAACAAAAATATGACGATGTCCAAATTTGTCTTTAATACATGATTACAAATTTACTTTATGTTTACATTTTATTCCTTTGCAGAGGTTTGGATGCCGTCGTATGAGATCCAAGAGACGGGAAGCGTGTCTTCAGAAATAATGATTGACGTGTATTTAAAACACAGCACTGAACCAAAGAAGGTTCGCTTAAGTAATAGTGTGGTGATAGAAGACGAGGTAAAGGGTAGCACTAAAATCAGTGTATGTCCATCGACGTGGAGAAACCATCGAAACCGCTGTGGCCAGCACTCAAGGTCGGAGGTGGCGAGGTGGTAGGGCATGCCGATGCGAACAATCCTAGCGATCGTCTGGTGATAATACCGGAAACACATGCCACACCTACCCCGTCTCGACACAAATTTATAAAGCCTGTACAATGCAAACATGTTCGGCGAAGATCATCGAAGCTGTACGTCCTCAATGATACTTGCACTAAATGCGGCAAGTCGCAAATCCAATTAAAGAATCAGTTGCGTTTATCGAAAATGACAGAGGACGAAATAGAATGTGCGACGCGACTCTGTGTTGCTTTCTCTGATTACGAAAAGCACTTGGATGCGATCACATTGCCGCCGCTCTCCGACTCTATTTATAGTGTACCTGAGTTGCCAGCATCACTACAGGAAATGATGAAGAACGCTGAAATCGAAAAGCCTGAGCTTTGAATCGTCAATATCTAGGGCGCCTCCGCCCTTCTGAGGCTGTGATACTTTGTGACTCGATGTTCCAGTGATTTTCGTATATTGCATTTTTGTTTTACGCATACCTAAGAGGAATGTTTTAGCAATATTTGTAACTAGAAGTGCATTTATTATTTTGTGACTTAGGTAGCTATGTATTTTAGTTAGTAATATGTTAGGATTTTTTTATAAAACTTTCAATGCACTGTAAGTGCGATTTCGTATGTTTTAATTATAAGGAATCATCTGTTGACTTCTTTTATGATAAGTTTAATTTGTATGTGATGATAAATGTAAAAATTTGAATCTAAAAATATAAATAAAATATAGAAGTTTTATTATAGCAATGCTGATTTTTAAATTTATATTCCATAAACTACATATTACGTATGTATTCAGACCCCATCTGCAGTTCTCGTATGTTTTAATTATAAGGAATCATTTGTTGACTCTTTTATGATAAGTTTAATTTGTATGTGATGATGTTAAATGTAAAAAAAAATAATCTCAAAATATAAAAGTTTTATTATACCAACGCTGATCTTTCATTTTATATTCCAATAACTACATATAACGTATCTATTTACACCCCATCTGGAGTTGCCATGGTACTCATCATATAGGAACTTTGTACTGATATTGCTATTAGGACAAATTTAAGTTACATATTCAATCATTATGCTATGCAAAATGACATAGTGGGAAAGCAATAAAGAAGAAATATGTAGGTGTTTAGGGAATAACTTAAAAAAAAAAAATCTTTCGAACTTTTTTCTATCATAAGGTTTTTGTAGGATTAGGTATTTTCTCATTTTATAATATTTGTCGTTGGTTGGTGAAGCTTAGATTTTTGATATTTTATGGATGGCCGATTATTAAATGCCAGTAAAATACAATATAAATTCTATTCTATGTTTTAAACATATTTTCATAGGATTTGAAATCAATTGGTTGAGACGAGTTACAATCAAAGTCACAGGGTTCTGTAACTAGAATAGATTTAATTTCTAGTAAAATATATTGACAGAAATGCATGTTTTATTAAAAATCAATATTCATCAAACACAAAGCTTACTTTTATAATAATATAGATGGTTTGGTTGTGCTACGACATGTAGCGCTTGTGATAGGCACGACGCATACCAAGTCGTACTGTCAGATTTAGACAGTCGCGCGACACACCTTAATGTGAAAACGCTGTAATTGATAGGGATGCAAACAATTTTTTTTTTATAGATTTACATGAAATATATCAATAATAAAAAAATATCATTCATATAACAGTCACGTGACAACGAGCATAAAATATTTATCTTTCCATAATTAGTTTCAGCAATATTGCAAATATAATAAGCATAAAATATGATTATCATTATAATAATAATAATAAAATCTTTATTTGCAGAAATATGATTATACACGTTATTAACAATTTTTAAATGCCCAGAATATTTTGTCGTCAGGACGACGTGCAAATATTATACCTATTAAACACCACCAGACCAGTTAATAGTATATTGAACACCACCAGAAAAAAAAAATTTTTTTATATATATATATATTCGTTTACTCTCTATATCCGTATTAGTGTGTTTACTTCGAATAATTATACGTCAATATTTAGTCGTTCGTCATAATGTATATTAATTTTATGGTTGTATGGTCGTTTTTATGGTTGTTTTTAGGATACAACGGGACCCTATCTCTGAAACACCGTTGTCTGCTATCCGCTCTGTGTTAAAAATGTTGTTATGTTATTTTGAACGGAAGAACATTTCAATTATTTCTTGAAATTCTTAAAAATGTCAAAATTACGACCGAGGTGAGTCAGAGTATTTCATGCGAAGATACATCTCACTAATCTTTACTCACTTTGACTTTTGACTTATTGTAGGGTGAAAATAGATTTTTTTCTAACTTATTTATTTTCATACGAGAAGAACCATGTAAAATAATAGCAAGACTCAGAATGGACTAAATGATTCATAATAATATATGTTAGTGTAATAAACATTGCGAGTATTATTAATGATATACATAAAACAACGTTACACTTTTAGGTCCGCTGGCCAGCGAGCACTAGCTTCGACGCAAGTTTGCAAGAATTGCAACATGGCCACCTTTGTTTTCGTTCGAATTCATTCACTTTAATTTTCTCTTTCTCTCGTAGAAAGCATTTTTTGTTTTTTTTGTTTTGAATCTTAGAAATGAAGCTTCTCGGAAATAAATTTCCGTTATTTTCTGAAACCTTTAAATTTGTGAAGATTTATAGATGTCAAGACTAAAATGTAACAAGATGACGATCTAGGTGATTCGGAGTGTTTCATGCGAAGATAAATATCGATAGCCTCTGGTCTTTTACTTTTTACTTATTGTAGGATGAAAATTTCTTTCTTTCTAGCTTATTCATTTTCATATGAGAAGAACCATGAAAAATAATAGTAAAATCTAAATATACACTGAATGAAACAAAATGTGTAATTGTAATTGTACATACTTATATAAAAACTGCGAGTATTTTTCTAGTCCTCCTAATTAAAAGAAAATATATAGGTATATGAATGATACACATAATACAACGTTATATTGTTAGGTCCGCTGGCCGGCAAGTAGTAGCTTCGACGGGAGTGTGCAAGAATTGCAACATGGCCACCTTTGTTTTCTTTCGAATTCAGTCACTTTGGTTGTTCTCTTTCCCTAAGAGATTTCTTGTTATGAATCTTCGAAATCATACTTTTCGGAAGAACATTTCAGTTATTTCTCGAAACTCTTGAAAAATGTCAAGATGACGATCGAGGTGATTCTGGGTACCTATCTCACTAACCTCTTCTTACTTACTTTAGACTTATTGTAGGATGCAAATCGATTTCATTCTAATTATCAATTTTCATATGAGAAAAGCAATGAAAAATAATAGTAAGTCTCAAAGTTTACTGGATAATACATAATATGTAACTGTACGTATATAAAATTGCGAGTATTATACTGGTTCTTTTAATAAACTATTTTGGGATATACATAATACAACGTCATGTTGTTATGTCCGCTGGTCGGCAAGTAGTAGCTTTTTCTCTTTCTATCATAAATTTCTTGTTTTGAACCTTAGAAATCAAGACATTATTGTATAACCTGACGTGCTTGACAGTACTCAATCTTAATATAATACTAGCTTTACGCCAGCAGCTTAACCCGTCTGGTCTCTAGGGAACTGTTCATTTGGATATAAGTTCATATCATGACATGTATATAATTAAGATGACAAATTGAATAGTAAGAAAAGGTGACTATGGTAAGGTTTTAATTCCCCATACACACTTTCACTCTCATTTTCTTTTATTTGTTGTTTCACGGGATAAAATACAGGTGAAAAAAAAAAAAAGTCGTTAGAGTAGCATCGGAGCCTATTCGATGCAAGCAAACAAAGAATCAAATCTCTAGTCTTTATTATTATATAGTATAGATTGATATCTAACGAATTGGTATCGAGTTGTATTCCGAAGATTCAAGGACATCGTCTGTTTCCACCAAAGACCAAAAGACATTTTTCACCATAATTCAATAAAAAATAAATAAAATCAAAACTTTCCTCCATATAATGTAAACAGTTAGGGACTTTCAGGTAAAAAAGATGACATTTTGTATAAACCCAAAAGTTACCTGCAACAATTAATTACTTGAAATTGTGTTACCACCGCCCCCGCTCCCTTGCAAGCTCTCGGTTCATTAATGACATTTTTCTCGACCAATCACAAACGAGCTGCTAACTATAATGTCAAAACTCTCATGAAATGTATGCACTTGTGGTCACCTCATAACATTCATCGGCGCATGTTGTTGTTGAATCGTTAATTGTGTTCATTGGGAGTTAATTTGTGATTTTGTGAAAAAATTACGGTAAGTTACTTCTGATATAATTTGTTAATTGATATGGCGACATCTATGTTAAAACATGAACTTAGTCGCCCACTCACAAGAGTTCCTTATTGCGGTCTCACTCATGTTGAACACACTAATTTTAGTTTATATGTTGCTTTTAAGCGTTTGCCATGGGTTCAGTTATAACATTTTAAAATGTTTAAGTTGACTAATTACTGTTCTGAAACAATGTGAAAATGTTCGTTTTCTTTTCATGTGCACTTACTTATTGTGTATTTTAGTCATTGGTACAGCAGTGAGCTCCGACGAAATAATTTATAAGCATTGTCTATTAGTTTTTCTAATGTTAACATAACATGTTATGATTCTGGAGAGAATTATACAAATTTTGATTGTTATTCGACAGATGAGCGAGCGTGTTTGGCTCGAAGTGGGACATTCGTGTCAACCACGAAGTAATGCGCGGTGTCGTGCACAAGCGCTTGACTGGCGGCTGTGGGTGTGCGGGGCGAACGGTCTCGACATCAGCGCTTTCGTGCATAAAGTTGTCTTCCTTTTGCGACCAGCCAGCGCGTTTGTCTACACCAAAAGAGGTTTGTATATTTTACAGATTTTTTCCAATGAATTTGGGTAGTTTATAGTAATTAATCAATCTCTAAAACAAGTATATGACGATGCTAACATTTGTCTTTAATACTTGATTACAAATTTAGTTCATGTTTACATTTTATTCCTTTGCAGAGGTTCGGAAGCCGCCGTATGAGATCCAAGAGACGGGCAGCGTGTCTTCAGACATACTCATTGACGTGTATCTAAAACACAGCACTGAACCAAAGAAGGTTCGCTTAAGTTATAGTCTGGTCATTGAAGACGAGGTAAAGGGTAGCACTAAATATCAGTGTATGTCCATCGACGTGGAGAAACCATCGAAACCGCTGTGGCCAGCACTCAAGGTCGAAGGTGGCGAGGCGGTAGGGCATGCCGATGCGAACAATCCTAGCGATCGTCTGGTGATAATACCGGAAACACATGCCACACCTACCCCGTCTCGACACAAATTCATAAAGCCTGTACAATGCAAACATGTTCGGCGAAGATCATCGAAGCCG